CCATATCCCTGGCTACAGTGGCAGCGCCCAAAAATAAACACTTCTCGCGTCACAGCGAAATCGTGTTAAAGTTCAATGTACCCCAAGGCCCTGTTAGATTTGTTAGTGCCAGCGATTGGCCACACGTTGCATGCCACATAACGCGAGCGCGCGCGCGAGAAAATAGCTAGCAATTAATTGCAACACTAATGCGCGAAGCGAGAGTTTCGATGCTGTTGCCGTGAACTGGACAATTGTGACTTCAAGTCTGTTCGAGCACCAGGTTCAATGTCCGTCCGTGACTATTTTTCCTTAAGTGTATTTGTTTGTTCGTTTTTTTTTTTCGTTGACATTTTCTTGATTTTTCCAAGGGAAAGTGTCAATAAAGGCTAACAAACAAAAGCGGTCAATTTAGCGTAAATAAATTTTCAAGTTTATTTACCTTTGCATAACAAAAAACTAATTATGTAGCCAATTTGATAAATATTTCAGTATACTTTTCATGGACATGAAATGGAATTATAACTTTGGTCCAATGTTACAAACCTAACATAAGCAGAAGACAAAAACCCATAGAAAAGAATATTGAAATGTCCAAAGTGACGAGATGGGTCCTTTTAGCTGTGTCCGTGTATCTGTCTATTCGAATGCAAACTAGTCCCCTCAGTTTTTAAGATATTTAATCGAAACTTCGTACACTTTTGCCTTTTTATAATCATTTGTCAGGACCGACAAAATCGGATCACAACAACATATGGACCCCATACAGCTGATGGTTTATTTGCATTAAATTTTGCTCTCTTTCACTTATCACAAAAAGACAGTTTACAACAACAGAGAGTTGCAGATCATCAAGATCGGACTACTATAAGTTATAGCTCCCATGTAACTGACTGTTGAGATACGAGGTTTTGCTTTAATACTTCTTAATTTTTATTGATAAAACCGTAATTTTTTATAAACAATTTACAAATAAATCAAAAATAGTGTTCCGAGAAAATCATTACAATCCACAGTGTTTCGACTATATGGAGGAAAGTGGAAAAAATGGTGACAGTTGATAAGAAAGTAAGTGCGCCTGGGCCACACTGTAAAAGTGAAACTTACGTTACTTATCTATCTATACATACACACATATACTTTTGCTTAAGGTTATATTTTTTCTATCAGTGTAGATCCCTACCTCTACCACTGTTCGTTTTAATAACATTCATGTTATTGAGTTTTCCATTACCGTCATTTTTATCTTTATACTCTATCGATAACAAAATCGATTATACCGTCCATCAAAATATCGATAACAAAATCGATAAGTACCGATAACAAAATCGATGACAGAATGGATAAATATCGATAACAAAATTGATAAACATCGATAACAAAATCGATAAAAATCAATAAATGTCGATAACAAAATCGATTACCGAATCGATAAATATCGATAACAAAATCGATAAATATCGATTACAAAATCGATAACAAAATCGATAAGAATCAATAACAAAATCGATAAATATCGATAATAAAATCGATAAATATCGATAAAAAAAATTTATAAATATCGATAACAAAATCGATAAATATCGATTACAAAATCGATAACAAAATCGATAAGAATCAATAACAAAATCGATAAATATCGATAATAAAATCGATAAATATCGATAAAAAAAATTTATAAATATCGATAAAAAAATCGATAAATATCGCTAGCAAAGTCGTTAAGAATCGATAAATATCGATAACAAAACCGATAAAAATATCGATTATTTTATCGATAAGTCTCTAGAATCCCGAAAATCTCTAAAATCCCAAAATAGTTCCCAGATTGAGTCTCTGTGTCTCTCTCTTTAGCCTTTCCTCTTTAATTACTTTTATTTTAATCTTTCTTCCCCTATCTTAATCTCTACTTTTATCGGTATCCTCATATTCCTCTTTGTCTTTACTTTTATGTTTATCATTTTCTTCAGCTACATATTCCCCTTCACCTTTGTGAAGTGTTTAAATTTGCCTTGGCCTTCATTTCTGCCTATATCTTTACGCATCTTTGTTTTTTGTTTTTATTTTTACCTTTGCCTTTATCCATTTTTTTATCTATGTACTAACTGACTTATACTTTCATTCTTGTATTGGTCTTTTTCTAAGTGTTATTCTTTAACCTCTTATTAGCAAATTTTTGTTAAATTAATACCATATGCATACACACAAGAAGTACTTGTTTCAGTCCTAACCATTTCCATTGCACCGTTTCCGTGTGCAATTTCCGTTGAATTTTCCAATTTACTCCCAACCAACTAACCGCCGCCAAAGAAGTTTCACTTCTATAAGGTATATCTCCCATTCAACTGATTGCTCGGAAATGAGTTTTTTTGATACAACTCATTCACTTAAATGACTAAGGACTGGCAATGTTATACTTGTGGGTGTTATGTTGGTTTGTCATAAGTTCACAGTGAAATTCATTAAGATCTATTTAGTATAATGTATAGTTACTAAGCAACTTATTAGAAATTTAAAAAAAGGTATAACCGAAGACAGAATTTTCCTTATTCGGTTTTATGTGCTAACTACCACGTTTCACGTTTTTCATGGAAGCTTTGTAANCTCGAACTTAAAATATTCGGTTAACCGAAAATGAACGGTTAGCCGAATAATCTAAAGTGAACGGTTATCCGAATAGTCGACCGCTTTCGACTACTCGAATATTGCTAACCGATTAACAGTAGTCGACTTCAGGCAGATTCGAATAATTCGGTTAATCGATTAACCGAATTGCCCGAGCCCGAGTATGAAGATACAGAAAAAAGTCTGGCGCCGAAGTATGAAGAGTTTGAATGCGGCCGACAATGAAATTTGACGGTCTCAAGTTTCCTTCAAGCCGCATGCGAATCGAGCTCTAGCCGCGAGAATAACATAAATTTTGAACAAAAAGTTTCTGCATCAAAAGGTAAGTTTTGAAAAAAATCTAACATTATTTTCGCATTTAGAGCTCGGCTTTCTCCGATAGTCTTCGTTCTTTGGAAATCTGAAATCTGGTTTCTCTTTTTTGCTAATTGACGTCAATTGGAAACTGGTATTTTTATTCTCTGCCACC